GATACACTTTTACATAAATTAACTAAAAATATTAAATAAAAGAGAAAATAAAAATACTACTAATATTATTAATGTTATTTGTATAAAGCATATTGTTGTAGATCATTTGTCCTAGTAGCAAGAGACATACATACATTATTGTGATTCGTCACTCATCTCAATTGTTGCTTGCTTGAGTTTGACAACCAAAGGGGAGAGAGAGTAGTTGGGGGTTCGCCCAACACATGTAATTAAGGAGATGGAAACTAGGTTTTCTGATTGTTTAGGGTTGTTCATGAATTACTTAGTTGGTGGGATTTACAAATTTCTTTCCGTAAAAAAATATAAACTCATGATTAATGAATTCCATATACAGTATAATTATAATTATTTATTTGTTCATTTATAATGATTTTAAGTGTGCGGCCTGATAGATTCACATACATCAAAAGTATAAATATTTATAACGCTTTTTAATGTGTGATCTCATAGATTCACATACATCAGAAGTACAAATATTTATAACGTTTTTAGTGTGCGATCTCATAGGTTCACATACATCAGAAGTACAATTTATTCTTTATTCGTTGTAGTTATTTTCAACAAAGTCCACCATCACTCACCATTTCTTATTAATCCTCAACATCATCCTTCTCATATCCGACTTCTTTATCCTCCTCTTAACATCCAAAAATACTCTCATTCGCTCCTTTGTCAACTATTTAATCAAAATCACATTCTTCATAACCGGTCTATATGCTTTTATCCCTAACATACTACATTGACCATGTCAATTAGTTCAAATTCCATATGGTTGTTGACCACATTACTCATCATCATCCATCTTTTCTATTTCGATCCACTATTAAATATCCCAAATCTCTAAAAATTAATTCAACTGCAACCAACAATGTTTCACTTAATACTTCGATTATGGTGTCGCTCTTGATTGTTAGAGGCTTCATTTGACGGTTCTTCAGTTTGTTGTCATTTTGTTTTTTTCCCTAGGTTTTGCATCATTCGTGATTTACTGTGTTAAGTATTCTTTAAAGTTGCATAGAGTGGATGGGTGCGATTTGTTGTTAGAAAAAAATAAGTTATTCAATGTGGGTACTAGAGAACACAATCTTTTGTCATGATACTTGGATTTATTCAAATTTAGCTAGAGAACTCCATATGTTGTTTGAATTTGAGAATAATAGAAATCAGAGGGTTTTTTTTACTACTTTCTTCTTATTATCATATTAAGGGCTTAGTGTTCGAGGGGAAAGTTCAAATTCAGAAAACCTAGCTTCATAATTTTTATATAATTTCTTGAAAAAAAATATAAGTTTGTGTTTCCACCAAACAAGGAAAGGAAACATAAAAGATAACATTTAAATCTACTTCATGACACAAAAAGTTATATTCCAATCCCCCAAAAAGCAATGCAAAATGTGATAAAAGGATAATAAGCACCAAATCTCAAGTACAAATACAAATACAAATAAACATTGTCATGGGGCAATCAGATAAGACATGAAATATCATCCAATGTCATCTCAATTATGTAAACTTTTCCATAACATAGCAACAGATCATCATATCTTTTAAAGATTTCCACCTCTTAATGCAAGAACTAGATGAAGAACAGATCCTCCTTCAATGTTGTAATCCTTTGCTGTTTTGTCATCTGCAAGCTGTTTTCCAGCATAAATCAGCCTGCATTCATTCAACAATCAAGTTAAAATTAAAGAACCCTAATATTATTGTTATCAAGGTATTTTTGTTGAAGAACCCTAATATCACCTTTGCTGAACTGGAGGGATTCCTTCTTTCTCTTCAACTCGTTCCTTGATTCTATCAATTGTATCAGTTGGTTCAATGTCGATTTCAATTTCTTTTCCTGTAAGAGTTTTGACCTTGATCATGGTTCCTCCTCTCAATCTTAGAACAAGATGAAGTGTTGACTCTTTCTGGATGTTGTAATCAGCAAGTGTTCTTCCATCTTCTAATTGCTTTCCAGCAAAAATCAATCTCTGTTGATCTGGAGGGATCCCTTCTTTGTCCTTCAAAATGCAATCACCAATTATTCCACATAATTAAAAGAGAAAATCAACGCACATCGATAGTAAAGAGAAAGAAGAACCACAGTCCACATAACAAACAGATTCAGAACATCAATTTCAATACAAATATACGATCAAAATCTACTACAGAATTCACAAACATACTCTCACAGTAAGCATGATTAGGAAGTGAAGTGAATACAACAACAAATTAACCTAAAAGCGATATTTACTATAAATATGTTATAAACAGTCATGAAATAGCAAAATCGTGTCAGAAGTAAACAATATAAGTATCGAAATCGATGATTGGAAGAGGAGAAGATACAAAATCGAAATCAGAGGTAAGAATAGAGGAGAAATAAGAACCTGGATCTTGGCTTTGACATTGTCGATGGTGTCGCTGCTTTCGACCTCGAGGGTGATGGTTTTTCCGGTTAGGGTTTTGACGAATATCTGCATCTTTGTGTTTCTGTTGGGTGTTGGATTTGATGAAGGAAGGGATTTGAGCGGTTAATTAATAAGCACATACGCGAACCTAAAAGCTGCGTTTAAAGAACGCGGATGCCGTTGACTTTTTGCTTATTCTAGAGTATCGTTTTGACTAAATTAATAGAAAACAATTTCATATTTTATCAATTTTTTAATCATATTTTAAATAAAAATATTTATCTAACCATTCTCATTCAATATTTAAAATAGTTTTTTTAGACACTCCAAATATAAAAACATATGTCCAATTGTATGATTATCTTTATTTATATCAAAATTTTGATCAAAATATAATAACAAAATTATATAAAACACACACATCCTAAATTTTCAAATTCATGACATTAGGACTAGACCCTCAACATATTGGACAAGGGATAGCTTACTAACAACTCTTTATATCGTTAGGTCACATACTTTTTGGTAATACAATAGAAAGGAAGTAAAAAAAAAACACATTTTTCGTGCACATAATGCTAATGGACAAAAGCATTGAATGCGACATTGGATATATCTCTTTATATAGAACCTTTTAGTTAGCATAACACAAGAAAACGATGGCAAAGATGATTCTCTATATAGTATGTGTGACCAATTCACAAATTCTCTACTTATAAAAACAAGCTTAGAGAATAAGCTAAATGTATAGTAGGGAAAAAGGAGAAAAACATAGTATCGAGCTTGTAGATTTAAAACACTACAACGAGGATCTCAAACAACATTCAAGGATTTTCGTCTCTTACATACTTTTTTTAAGGGTTGGTTAGCAGTTAGAAGTTAAATTCATCAAGTTAGTTAATACGTCTAAACTCGGGTTTGAATCCGCAACCTCCAATTTAAGAAGCTTCCACCTCTACCAAGTGGACTAGTCCCAAATTAGCTGTGTGATTTGTGAAGGTTGAGCAATTGTTTCATATTTGAACTTGTCTCTAATAAGGATAAGCTTGTTTAGACTACATTCAATGCACAATAAACTTCGAGTATTCACTTATAAAAAACTTTATATAGAAAATTTACTATTTTAACTTTCTATATAAATGTATTCGAATCCTGCAACACTTGCATGATGAAATTTTAATCTAAGTCTCGTTTGTACATCCATTTGGACCAACAACGCTTATCCAAACGGTTGGATTGATCGTTGTGACACCCCACAAGTTCCTATGGTAATCTTATGTAATTCAAATGTTTTCATAAAAAGATAAATCATGTTTAGAGGGAGATATTCGAAAGATCCTTGGCACTTACCATATGTAGTCAAACATGATGTAAATATTGTATCTCTCTGGTGGATTTTTGTTTCATTGTGATAAACTAAAAAAAAAACATTAGGTTATATTTTTCTCCATAACTAATTTACATTATGATCTTGCCTAAATTAATGTCTCTTAAACCATTTTATGTTCTTATTTTTTAAAGAAGTGTTGAGATCAGCTATATTGGTTTTAATGTACATTTGAATGAAAACACATTGTTATATTATGCCTATAATAAAAGTAAAAAAATGATAAACCACACTTCAAATTTGAACCTTAAACCTAGATTTTCACGCTTCAACCATTAGGCTCTAATCATATGTGTTGGTTTTAATAAAAGGACATCGCTATAAAATGCTCACAAAGCATTAATATTAGACAATATAAGAAAAAATGGTATTAATGGCCACAATGGTTTTTATGGTCATTGTGAGACAACACATTGGGTTTTTTCTTGCGTTTTCACTAATAACAACTAGGAAAAGGTCCGTGCTTTGCACGGGTCATTCTTTTTAGAAAAAAAAATGAAAGGTAGAAGAATATGTTTGACGGAAATTCCAAAGAATAAAAAAAAAAGAAGATAGAAGAATACGGTAGACGAAAATGATAAAGAATAAAGAAAATGGTTGTAAAGAAGTAAAAGTGAAAGTTTAGTGGCAAAAATATAAAGAAGTAAAAATAAAGTGGCAAAATTATAAAAATGAAAAGTTTGTTGAAACTTTAGTGACAAAATTATAAAGAAGTAAAATAAAGTGGTAAAATTATGAAGATGAGAAGTTTCAACACTAAAATGTAGAAAAGATGTGGCAAAAATTCTAAAATGTAGAAAAGATGTGACAAAAGTCAGAAATAGAAAAGAATACTGTTCTTTTCCTCCATACGCTTTAATATATATAGTTAATAGTAAAGTGTATTTTTTGTCTATATCATCAATTATTGATCAAAGTCAAAAATTTTAGAAACTCTTGTGTAAATCCAGCTTGATGCATTAATATGTTACATCCTTCGTTTATTAAGTTATATTTAGCATGTTACGAATGTTTTAAACATTCAACTAACAAAAATCAAACTATATTCTCAAACAAGGTTACCAAAAACAAACATACTAGACACTCAACATTAAAACTTCGAACCAAAATAACAATCATACACATGTTTTTGTCAAATTGGCATAATAAAAGGAAGAACACTAATAATAACAAAACGTTAATCCAAAAAATAACTTCCTTCCACTTCCTTCTCTCAACCATTGTTACGCCTATTTTGCTTAGATGATTTAATTTACATCTATGGTTTACATTCTTTAGACATATTCCTTCTATGCAAGCTTAAAATCAAGCATGTCCTTTATATCTAACCGAATTGAAGGCCCCATTGATGAACATATATGTGCACTTTTCCAGTATACACCTTTTGCTCCAGTTGGCTTGTTTGTTTCCACTGATTTCTGTCAAAATTAACATATATAAATAAATCATGTCAAAATATATTCATCTCAACATAAGTTAGCTTTTTTTTCAGAAGGGTAAGAATGTAAATATACCACTGCAGCAAGCAAGTTTATAGTAAGATCTTCTTCTGAAAAACTCGCCTTCCCAAATGGCAAATGAACAATTCCTGTTTTGTCTGCTCTGAATTCCACTTTCCCCTTCTTAAATTCCTCTATTGTCTGTAAACCATCATATTGTAAACTTAACAAGAAAACTACAAATTTGGTCCCTGTGTTTATCAAAAAATTGAGTTTTAACTTTTAACCCCCTAAACTTTCAATTTTGCATAGATGGTCCTTATGAGCATGTTTTGTTATGGGTTTCCGGGTTTGGTCCCTCCTTTTAATCTCAGTTAAAATTCAACTGTTAGTGACTTCATGTGCCCTTCACACAAGGGTAAATTTGTCTTTTTTACCAATAATAACAACATACTTTGTTTTTTAGTCAAAATAGCAATGTATGTAAATTTCACTACCAATACGGGCATTCTACTTTATTTGTTAAATATTGCAATTATGACTAAATAAATTTTCTGAACAAGAGTAAAATGACCATTTTACCCTTCATATCTTACCTGAGGTATAGTGGTTGTAACAGTTCCAGCCTTAGGGTTTGGCATAAGTCCACGAGGTCCCAAAATCTTTCCAAGACTAGCAACCTGATGGGAATGAGAATTATTTTTAATTTCTTTAAAGGGTAATACTTATTTAAATAATATTATAAAATTAAAAAAAAAAAAAAAAAAAAAAAAACCTTAGGCATCATATCTGGAGTTGCAATCAACTTATCAAATTCCATGAATCCTCCTTTAATCTGTTCTATCAAGTCTTCTCCTCCAACTATATCTGCTCCTGCATTTTTTGCTTCATCTATCTTTTCACCTGTGGATTTAAACAACTCAGAAATAAATCCATAAATGATATTATAAATTTATAATAAAACCATGATTAGTGAAAACTGTTTCTTTAAAAAGTTAGAAAATGAGAGATAGAAAAAACCTTGAGTGAGAACAGCAACCCTAACAACTTGCCCTGTGCCTTTGGGCAAATTCACCTACAATACAAGATTTCAAACATCAAAGACTCTTTTTGGAAGAATATATTAAACTTAATTACTTAAAATCAAATTAAAACATATATTTTAATTTAACTCACTGTTGCTCTGAGTTGTTGATCATTATATTTTGGGTCAATGTTAAGACGAAAATGTGCTTCTACACTTTCTGTAAACTTTGTGCTTGCCATTTGCTTCAGCAATGATACTGCAGTTTTGAGATCATACTCTTTCTTTACTTCCCTCAGCTTTTGAATTTCCAAGAATCTCTTTGACCTAGTCTGATGAATCAGAATTGCACAAAAAGCATTTGTAAAATATGAGAAAGACTAGTAAATAATCTTGAATATTGTTGGTTGTTTACTACAGGAAGTATGAATTAATGTAAGAAAACCACATTTCACATTTCGCAATTCAGTGTACATGATGGAAAAGAACCCTCGAGATTACAGTTTTGGAGCTAATACTATTTGGGGTTTGTTGTAATTAATCCATGAAAACTCGATTGGAAGTTGACATTTGAGTTTGTAATGTGCACTGAGTTGTTTTGAACTTTGAAATTGTGTAAAACTATCAACATACATTCGAATATATACAAGAACTACAAGAACAGAGACGTTTGGGAGATGAAATTATGAAAGAAACTGATGTGGAATTTCATTGGGTTTTTGGGGCGATGAAGGGATTCAATAATCCGAAAACCTTTTACGAAATTAACACATAATTTACAATGAAGTGAAGTAGAATTGAATCGAGCATAAACATACCCTGTCACTCTTAAGAGGCAAAGCAGCTTTTCCTTTCTTAGGTTTAGAAGGGGAAGGAGGAGGAGCAGTAGCGACACTGCCACCTTCAACATCCTCATCAATTTCACCCAAATCAGCTTCAGCAGCCACCGCAGAAACCAAAAAAGGAGAATTCTTGGAAGAGGTAAAACTGCCGAAACCGGACTTCAAATTCGTGGGTCTAATGCATTCTGATTGCGACTGTAGAACCAGAGTCTTGGTTTTGGGGTTTGGTTTGAAACTGAAGGAAGAGATGAGGGATGATTTTGGTTCTTGAGGAAGGTGTATCGATGATAGAGTGAGAGTAGCCGAAGTGGAAGCAGAGGAGGAGGCCATCTTCTGGTTTTCCTTTGCCTTATGTTTTGTGTGTTCTATCCGTAAGCCGTATATACGATGAAGATGATGATAAGGCACTTTGGGTTCGTTTTCACTTTTAACCTTAAATTAATACACATTTACACCAATGATCCCTATTGTTTATCAAAATTGGCATGGTGTGGACAACTATCAAAAACATCTACTTGTTTGGTCCTTATGGTTTATAAACAATGTCCATCTAGTCCTTTTCTTAACTTTATTTGATTTTAGACGTTTTTCCAACCCACGTGCCCGCCCCTCACATGAGGGTATTTTTGTCCTTCTAGTACACCCCCGCTAATCTAATCATATTGATGCATGGTATATTTGAAAGTTGTCCTTATTTCTTCACATCTCACCCCAAGAAACTAATACTCTTTTTTAACGGTATCATCGTTTTTTAGAGAAAATTTAATCAACAACTGTAACATAGCGTAATTGTACAAAAACGGTGTTAACATAGTGGTTTTGTTGACCAACACATGTGAGGGAAGACATAAGGAAGGTGTAAGATAAGTACATTGTGTGAAAACTTTAACAGCTGTACAATTTGTACATGGTTATTCATCTTAAAACACTCGCTTCTTGTTTTTGAGGAGGTATACCAAACTACTCCACACTACAAGTTGGTCGGTCGATTTTTATCACTTTAAATAGCACTTATTATTACAAAACGTCCAATTTTGCTTACAAATGGCTCTAATTTTGGTGTTTATTTAATTGTTTGTATAGTATTGAAAATCAACTAACAAACAATGGAAATGCAAGAGAATAACAACAAATAGATGATGTTGGACGTGCTTTATTGTTTTGGTCATATCTCATACACTGTAGACCGGATTAACATGATTCAAGTTGTTGTGGAAAGAGATCAAAAATTAAATACAACTTTCATTTTTTATGCTTCCGCTAATTTGATTGTTATCAAGGTGATAATCAGATTGGAAGTCGTAGTTATGATTATAAATAAACTTCGAAAATACTGAAGGGTTTTGAAATTAAAGATGGTTTTGGGAAACGAGAAATCAATGAAGATTAAATCCACACACTGCCCCATATTTATCCCACATTTACACCTAATGTAACGCCCGCAGATTCGGGCTAGATATTTAAGATTTAATAGATAATATTAGCTAAAGATGTAATGACTATCTTGGTGATATAAGGAGCGCTTAAATCCGACTTCATAAGAAGAAGTTAAGCTTCGTCGAAGTTCCGCGATTAAACCGACACGGCTATGAGCGTCGTAAAAAGTGAATTTAGATAGGTTGCTTATTAGCCTAAGTAAACTAAACGGAAGTCGTAGTAATCATAGAACCAAACTCGTGTATATAGAGAACGTCCAAATCTAACTTCATACAAAGAAGTTATGATTTTTCAAAGTTTTAGTATAAGTAGTGTGCGACACAGAAACTGAATTTTAGATCTGTCAATTGTTAGGAAAAGCAATCTAAACGAGAGTTGAAGATCTCGTAATTAGGAGTTTGTTGATATAAAGACAATCGAGAACGGATATCATATGAGAGAGTTATGATTTTTATACGGACTTTAACAGTCTAAGCTTGTTAAAAATATAACTTTAAAAATAAAGTGAGAATTAGTCGACGCAGTCTAAATGAAAGTTGTAGTCCTCGTCGATAGCAACGCATGGATATAAAGAGTGTCGAAAAGGAGCTCGTATGAGGAAGATATGATTTTTGAAAAATTAGATATCCGCACGCGCACGTGCGAGAGGCGCAACGCGTAGCAGGCTGTCGACATGGCGACGTGGATGAATATAGTGCTGACATGTGGAAGCAAGGGGGGACGGCAGGAGCAACGTCGCTTGAAGGACGTGACACGCCTCTGGTCGGTGCGCGGCCCGCGCCTGTTCAGTTATATATACCCCTCGAATTTCCTTCAATTCTTATCCTAGTTCTCATATCTCTCTCTAAAATATCTCTAGTCGTTAAGGTCCGAATATTTCAGACTTTTGAGTATTTTAGTTAGGCTCTGGAGTAGCTAGGAGCCCAACAAATAGAAGCTATCGGGTCGAAATTCTACCAGTGTAATTTCTGAACTTTTGTCAGGAAAATCTTTGTAAGTTAAGCTACACGTACATTGTTTTCAGTGTAACTTATATTTATAATCACAATCATTATTATGAATCTATAAATAAGATTTGTCACTGATTCCATGTCATAATATTTATTGATATACTTATGGAGATAATATAGATGCCAGATTTAGGTGTTATTTGTTTTTTTTTTCAGAAAAAACCACTTTTGACCACTTCTTGTTGCGACGCGCAGCACACGCGCAACACTTGACCTTTCGTAGTTGTTTGTTTTTTGGAAGACTTCTAACTTAAAAACGGTTGTGCGTGTGCTGTATAGCGCAACACTAGACCATCCTCTTCAAACCATTTTTCACTTACTTTAAGTTATATTATTTCATCTTAGATTTGTTTTAATTTTTTTTCAACAACATGTTTATTATTTTAATAATATTTGAAAAATATTACAAACAATTGAAGTATATTTTATATAATTTCAAATAATTTCAAAACCGTTTGGTAAATTTCATATAAATAATTTTTTGTGTTATATTGTCTATAATCAAATATTAATAAATTATAAAGTTAATCATTAAAATTATCAAATTTATTGAAGTTAACCGGAAAAATAATCACCGTCTTCAAAATTTTAACAAAAATGAACATGTTTTTAGCTAAATTAACACGTTTTATTTATTGTTATTTAGCAAATATTATGTTTAATTCTTTCATATAAACCTCTTTAAAAATCATATCACCATAATGATCTTTATATTTGATTTGCATATGATTAAACTAAATAAATTTTTATTTAGGTTTATTTTTAACTATTGTATAGTTAATTTCAGTTTATTGCAGCAGTCTGCAGAGGTTAAAAAACAAACAGATTTCTTATTACAAGCTGCATCCGTTTGGCCCACCTCTTCTACTGCAAAGGGTTGCAGATGTGGTCCGCAGACTTCAACCATTTTCATTTCGAAAAAGCAAACAACACCTTAGTGAGGTGTTTTTAAAGTAAGATTTCCAAACAGTATACTTTGTATAACAAACGGACCCTTCCTCCGATATGGTCTTACCTAGTTATTCCTTACTTGATAGATCTGAATGTAAACATTGGGATTATTGATGAATTTAGACTATCATTAGTCATCACGAATATAAGACTAATACTTAGTGATGTGTACATAGATCTTTCAAAAGGAAAAGCTAGGTGTTAAGGCGAAGCACTGCCCAAATTATGAGTCGTCACTTTTAGCTAGTGAGTGCAAGTCACTTTCAAAAACAATGTTTTAATACAAAGTATTTAACTAAAAGTATTAATTATCTGCCAAAAGTTTATTTGTGAATTAATTGTTTATTATCCAGAATATTTGTTAAATGTATATTTGATTACATATACTGTGTGAACCATAAATGGTTAATTATGTGTTAAAATGTTATATGATATTATTACATGATACTTTTAAAAATGCGTATTATCATTTAAAAATATTAATGTATAATAATTGCATAATATTATGTGTTAAAACTTTACACTACATTAGGACAATATTGTGTAAACAGAGTTAGTATTGGAAATTGATTACAATGATTGTAATCTTGTCTAAGTTTAAAACTAATACATATAAAGAATACTTAGGTCTCGTTAAGTTGGATAAAATAATGTCGTCGTATATTGTATTGCGATAGTATGGTATAAATAGGAAAATGGTTTGGAAATCAATTATAAGCATTGTAACAACCCGTTGTTTCGAGTCAATGTAAGTCAAACTAATTCAAATAAAAGTCTAGACTACAACCATATACAAGTGAATTCACCCCATAACACTTTTACAATAAGAATTTGAATGCCAAGAATACTTGTATATATAAGTTCATATGATAACACAAGGGTTAAATTTAAACCCATGTTGATTTAAGTTGTTATAAGTCAACAAAACTTACACTGGTTCAAATGAGGGTTTCGATTCTTCATACAAGAGCCTAATACTTAGTTTAAATCATGAAAATACAAGGTGCAAATGTAGTTTTCGGTCTTGGGAATCTAATCCTAAAACCAAACCGTGAACTCTTGCTTTTGGAAAGGTCAACCCGCAAACAACCTCTTCTAGAAGACCTTGACTGAAATCTCTTTTCTATTGGACTTTAAGGCCGCAAACTCTTTTCCCTTTGACTCAAAACCACAAACCACTTTTCCATTTGACCTTAGGACTGCAATTAAGAGAGATTTCGGTCATATAGGACTGAAAACAAAAGGTTTAAGGCCCATTAAGGCCAAAAACCTCTTCTATATAAATGTCTTCAACCGTGAACCCAATTCATTTCTCAATTTCCCAACCGTAAACACCCTTATTTTGCTCTCAAAAGTCATACAAAATCTTCATATCTTCAAGAATTTTCTACCCAGATCATCATAATTCCACCTATAACACCAAGAACAATCTTCAAATCTTCAAGTTTTCCTCAAGAACACCAAGAACATCATCAAATATTCATATCTCCCACCGAAAACACCCAAACACACTGAAAACGCCTAGAACACTTCCAAATAATTCCTAAGGCTTTTTGTAAGTATTTCTTACATAATTAAGTGTTGTCTAACACCTAATTTATTAATTTATTTAAATTAATATCTTATTAATTTAATATGATATCGTGTATAATTATCATTAGGACACAACGACGCACACGAGTTCTAACCCGAGGATCACCGCTACCACTTCATATCCAAACGAGAAAACGCATTCGATGTGAGTTCATACCCCCTACGTTTTCACTATTTTTCCATGTTTTTATGGGGGGGGGGGGGAATACAAG